AAGGATGAGTTCATGTCCTTTGCATGAACTCATGCAGAGGGACATGGATAAAGCTGGAAGCCATCATTCTCAGCAAACTGACACAGTAACAGAAAATCAAAGACTGCATGTTCTCACTCATAAGTAGGAGTTGAACAATGAGAACACGTAGACACAGGGAGGGAAATATCACACACCAGGGACTGTCAGGGGGTGGGGGGCTAGGGGAGGGATAGCATCAGGAGAAATACCTAATGTAGAGATGGGGTGATGGATGCAGCCAACCACCATGGCACATATATACCTATGTAAAAACCTGCATGCTCTGTACATGTACCACAGAACTTAAAGTACAATAAAAAACATAAATAAATAATAATTCATTTAAAAAACCTATTTTCAAGAGCTCAGACATTTTTCAGGCTTGTTATGTGAGTGGAGCTCCCTGGAACCTCTCACTATATAAACATTCCACATATATATCATTTTCCCCTAGAATATGAGTCAAAGCAGCCTTACAAAAGTGATAGAGACATGGATTCAAAAAGAAGCATACGACACATGTTTGACTAATGAGAAATCACAGACTTACTAGCCTACTTTAAATAGTCAGGTAATTCTATAGGTTTTGAAATTTGCTTTGAACAAAAAATAGAAACATCAAAGTTGGGCATTAACGGTCTACATTTCTAGGACTTTCCAAGTACCTTTTAATTATAACACAACATAGTCTACAGCAGACATCATCTTCTCTTGGCACATATTTTTAATATTTTAAGTGTGTGATTATTGTTCTCACAGTCTATAATTACGTTAACCAATAAATATTAACACATCTAATTCAGTTCCACCAGAGGGAAGACAATTCAAAAGGATGAGATGTATCTCTCAATTAACTCTTGCTTTCTTAAATTACAATAGAAAAAAATTAGAATGGATCATCCTTTAATTTCTGAATGAAACAGGCACATGGAAGGCATATTTTACCATAATTTTGAACTTGTTCTACTTAATGGCTGTTATAATTAAATTTTGTAACCTTCTGAATGTTTTTATTTTATGGGAAAGCCACACTCAAGGGACAGTGTCACTCAGATGACTGATGCCAGTTTTCATCGATGGTAAAAACATTACAAAAATTAAAACAAAACCTGACACCCTCAATCTGGTGTTTAGAACTTAAAATCAAGCACAGGCCAAAATTCAAAGTCCAGTTGTGCTCAGCAATGCTCAAGCCTATGGCCGAGGAGAAATCATTCATCTTGTTGGTGAGTCTTAGTTTCCTCATCCCTGAAACAAGCACACCACGTACATCTCAGAATTTAGATATCTATGTCTCACTCAAGTGAGAATATATGTGAAAGTGCTTCAAAATCAGTGCTGTCCAAATACCAGTGATGATGAATTTATGTACTCAGAAAGATTGCTCAAACAAAATGTAGCTGCTGAATAAACCTATTAAAATGCAATGGTTTTTGAGAGGCATGTGCAGACACAGCCTTAAAGAATGAAGGTTATATTAAACAAAAAACCTCAAAGCATGATGTTCTCAGAATCTATCAGGTTATAAGAATTTAGGGGAGAAAAAAAAACAAATATTGAAACGAAAACTCTAGGTTTTCTTGTTTTCGTGTTTTTAAAGGGGAGGGGGCAGGTTTGACGGATCACTCCTGTAATCCCAGCACTTAGGGAGGTGGAGGCAGGTGGATCAAGAGGTCAGGAGAGGAAGATCATCCAGCTAACACAGTGAAATCCCATTTCTACTAAAAGTACAAAAAATTAGCTGGGTGTGGTGGCATGTGCCTATAGTCCAGCTACTCAGGAGTCTGAGGCAGAAGAATCACTTGCAGTTGGGAGGTGGAGGTCGCATTGAGCCGAGATCGCACCACTGCACTCCAGCCTGGGCAACACAGAAGCATTTGGGCATAATGCCACTGAGTCCAGTGGCATTATGGGCATTTGCTTTGGGGCATTTGCTTGGCTGGAATAAAAAAACTGCTGAACATCAAACAACGGTCAGAAAGTATGGAATGTGGCTTGCTGGAGAATGTTTTTCTGACCTGGGCTTACTCTCCTGGGCATCCTTCCACAGTTGGTATTATTTCCTACCTTCCTCTTTCAGAGTGAATTTTAGACTTCCCCTGATTGAGAACCTTCAAATAACCCCATTCTCTACAAAAGACATACAAAATCATAATCTGGCATTTAAATGTGTCTACATGCTGTCTGTAGGAAACCTCCCAGACCTATATTCTACTACCAGCCTTCGAAGGCTTCATCTGCAGCCATCTGGTTGCTTACAGATCTCTAAATGCAGCCTTGGAGCTTCCAGCCCTGTGGCTCAGGCTATTCTCCCCCGCTGTCTCCAACAATACAATTCCACTCACCCCTCCAGCTGAAAATGCAAGTCTTTTGAAAAGAATTAACAGATTCTCACACCTTCAAAAGAATATATCACTATCTTCTTTGTGCTCCTGCAGTATAGGCCATAGCCTCACATATAACATCACAGGCTATTAGAAGATGACAATGGAGTCCTACTTCTCTTTCTTTCAACTATCCACTTTTCTGCCTCATCAGCTCCCCCAAAAGACCACAGTGACTGCTCTAGACACATTCACAGGGACAAAGTACATTTTTACTACTCACAGTACAGATAGAGCCAAGAGCAGGGACAACGAAGGAAGAGCTAAGTGGTAGTATATTTTGACTTGAATCCCCACATTGCTGACAATTCCATTATATGTTTAGAAAAGATAAAGGGAATATATCTAAAGAAGAAAGCAGCTGGGCATGGCGGCTCATGCCTGTAATGTTGGGAGGCCGAGGCGGGTGGATGGCTTGACGTCAGGAATTCAAGATAAGCCTGACTAACATGGTGAAACCCCATCTCTACTAAAATACAAAAATTAGCTGTGTGTGGTGGTGGGTCCCTGTCATCCAGCTACTCAGGAGGCTGAGGCAGGAGAATCGCTTGAACCTGGGAGGCGGAGGTTGCAGGGAGCCAAGACTGCACCACTGTACTCCAGCCTGAGCAACAGAGCGAGACTCCATCTCATTAAAGACAAAAAGAGGAAGAATCCAGCAATCCCATTACTGGGTATATATCCAAAGGATTATAAATCTATTATAAGGACACATGCACACGAATGTTCACTGCAGCACTGTTTACAATAGCAAAGACCTGGAACCAACCCAAATGCCCATCAATGACAGACTGGACAGGGAAAATGTGGCACATAGACACCATGGAATACTATTGCAGCCATAAAAAGTGATGAGTTCACGTCCTTTGTAGGGACATGGATGAACCTGAAAACCATCATTCTTGGCAAACTGACACAAGAACAGAAAATCAAACCCGCATGTTCTCACTCACAGGCAGGTGTTGAGCAATGAGAACACAAGGACAGACGGAGGGGAGCATCACACACTGGGGTCTGCGGGGGGAACTAGAGGAGGGACAGCAGAGGGCGGGGAGTTGGGGAGGGATAACATGGGGAGAAATGCCAGATACAGGTGATGGGGAGGAAGGCAGCAAACCACACTGCCATATGTGTACCTATGCAACAATTTTACATGTTCTTCACAAGTACCCCAAAACGTAAAATGCAATAAATATATATTTTTTTTAAAAAGGAAGAAGAAGAAAGCACTGCCACCTTATGAGGAGTTCAGCAAAGAAACAGGAGTGGTTTTTAATTCAAGAAAGGATCCATTGCAAATACAGCATCTGTCATTCAAGAATTACAGTGAGGCTTAGAGGCTGTAGGCACTCTCACTTAGTCAAGCAAATGTCACGCAGAGTCAAACGGTGACAATAGTGCTTGTCCAACAAGTGCAACTAGAGTTCTGATGGCTGCCTTCTGTGGACTTGGAAGCCCTGAAACAGATTTGCCACAACCCTTTCAAGACTTTCGAGAGGCAGGGAATGATCACTAGCAGTGAAAGATCAGCTTCTGGAATTCAGATGTTAGATGAAGATGCAGAAAAATAGCCAAGTTCCAAAAGAGGCCAAAGAAAAGGAAAAAAAAAAAAAAAAAAACTAACAAGGCCCCATTCACATTTATAAAACATAGATTAACAGCTACCATCAAATTTTGGTGAATTTCAGGAGAAACTGATATATTCAAACTGACTGGTGGTACCAGCATAAACTATTCACAACCTTTGGAAAGAAAAGTAAAGTGGTCACACTCATCAGTGTAGCAATCCCACCCCTAGAAATGTGAAGCCAGGAAACAGCTCTGAAGAAAATATACACAAATATGTCCCTTGCAACATTATTTATAACAACATCAAAAATAATGAAAACCACCTTAATGTTCAATGAAAGTAATTTCTTTGCAAAAGACATAGCCCTTCACCTTAACATTGCCTAGCCAAGCTGAGACACATTTGTGAAAACTATAACAACATATAACAAAATACCTATATAGATAAAGCTGTAAAAAGATCAAGGCACTGGAAAAAGAAATTTACTGTTTTATATAATATTTTTGTGTAATGTTGTGTTATTCTTAAAGAAAATATTGAGTCAATTTAAGAACTATCTGCCAATTGACTAACACACGTTGATAATAAATAAAAAGATCGCTTAAGCCATTGACTCTAAGAAGATCACAAAAGAATAAAAGTGCTGGGCATGGTGGCTCACCTCTATAATCCCAGCACTTTGGGAAGCCCAGGCAGGCAGATCATGAGGTCAGCAGTTCAAGACCAGCCTGGCCAACATGGTAAAACCCCATCTCTACTAAAAATAAAATAATAATACGGTGGTGGTGGCGTGTGCCTGTAGTCCCAGCTACTCAGGAGACTGAGGCAGGAGAATCTCTTGAACCCAGTAGGAGGTCGCAGTGAGCTGAGATTGCACCACCACACTCCAGACTGGGCAACAGAGCAAGACTCTGTTTCAAAAAAAGAAAGAAAAAATAAAAGAGCTCTCAATGCAGCATGTTCTTTCTGATAAGAGTAGAATATCTGGGACTGGCTGTGTGGAGACGGATGTGGGCAGCACTAACCTGTGGAGGCCGAGGCTTGTAGGGCGAGCTGCACTCCAGGTCAGCCAGGATGCTGGTCAAGGAGTCAATCTCAGCATCCAGGCTAGAGCGCCTCTCCTCAAGTGTCTTGCCTCCGGGATTTCCCTGCTGGAAGCAACACATACATGTTAATAAATGAAATTTCCATTGATATCATTGTTAAGTTCAAACGTCTCAAGTTACAGTGCGGCTTTGTCCAAGTTTTTCTGTACCTCTTTTTTTTAAATTAAGCTTTCATAAAATCTCAGTGAGGTTGGCCGAGATAGAATTATTACTATGACAGATATGTAAACTGACAGTCAGAAAAATAAAAGATGATTTTTCTCAGATGGCATATTTAGAAGATTTTTAAGTATACAAGTAAAGGAAAATAAATGCCTGCATTCCTGCACTTAAAGAGCAGAACCAGCTTAAGAGAGCTCACAAGCTCTTGCTGTTTAGGAACCACTGCCTAGAATAATAACATTTATTGGAGCAGCAAGGAGCAAGGAAAGGAGACTGACATTCCGGAAAGAGAAATTAGCACTTGAAGATATCAGAGCACGGAAGTGCTTAGAAGTCTGAGGTCCAGGGGTATTAGGTACGCATGTGTGCATGGGTGACAAGATCCAGGTGATGCATGTAAAATGTGAACTGGAAAGAGCCTCTTAGGGTTCTACTGAGGGGCAGAGGACGCACGTGGCAGTGAATACAGATGATGAAGTCAGCATCCCTGGATTCCATATGTTAGAGCCCCGTATTACCTGCAGTCAGAATTAACAAGAGGAGAGTAGAGGACAATAACATCGCCACAGGGTGTTTTCAGGAATTATGACCAGGTTTGGGAAAAACAAGCAAAGCATCTGTCTAGAGTTAAAAGCAAGGACATTTAAAGTAAGATGACTCTCATATTTGGAGGCAGGGTGAAGTAAAAAAATAATCTTTTAAGGTGACAATTTAACAATGATTATGTATGTGTATGGAGTAAGCTCCTAAAACTTCATCAAGCACCACAGCCCATACGACAGAGACAAATAATAATAATAAAGTAATACATATATTTCACATTATCACATTGTCTAAAGCAGCCACCTTACAATTTTTTCCTTCTAAATGTATTATTATGTCCCTTCTACATCACATCATCTTATCCCCTTACCCTTTTAAATCTATATTTTATAATATCTACCACTAGGTGTATTTTTCTGTTTATTTTCAGTCTCTCCCATAGAACATAAAAGCTTTGTGAGAAGCTTTGTCTGTTTTGTTCCTGTTTCCTCAGAATCTCGTTCAAGGCCTAGTCCATGTAAGTGTTCAGTAAGTATTTCTGAATAAATAAATCAATGAATAATAACACACTGTGCCACAGATTCAGCCAGTGACCTTCCTCATATCAATATATTTTGGGTAAACACAGCTAGAGATACAACAGTGGCAGTGGAGACTCTAGGACTTGATATAAAAAGGGAACCAAAGAGGTTCAGTGTGCATCTGGCGTGTGCACACACACCTGGGTGTATACATGCTCACACTGGTGTATACATGCTCACATGCTCACACTGGTAAGTATGCGTATATCATCAAGCTGGATGGCCCAGATTTGAAGGCTGGCCTTGTGAAATTGAGAGATTTTCTTCCACTCTCTTGTCACAACCAAAAATAGAAAAAGAGTGACATGACAGGTTGGTTGAAATTCAGACTCTTCTGATTCCGAGTTTCCAGTGTGCTTAAACTGTTAAATGCCAGCGGGTCTGCATACTGGAAAGAGATGTTTTCAAGGTGCTAATCCCTGCAGCAGAGGAGATCTCATGTTTATCTCAAAGGGCAGTAATAACCATGAAACATTTTGGTATAATTAAGAAAAACTCCATTTAACATTTAAACTTCATGTGAACATTCTGGGTAATGGCTCCTGGTACAAGGAAAAGCAGGACAATGTTGCTACGGAAGGCAACCAAAAGCTGAGTAAAGTTGCTTCTCTTGTGTGCAGATATAAAATATTATGGTAGACATTAATTTGGTAAGTGTATTCCCACATACTCATAGATAGTCCAATATAATGGAAGGGTGGTAGATTGGTGTCTGCTTAAGTCTTTCCCTGGGCCACAATTTTCTCATCTATAAAATGAAGAGAATATCACATGTTCTACCTAAGCCAGGGTGATGTTACAAGATTCAGATAAGAAAATGGATGAGAAAATACTCTGTAAGTTGTAAAGTGCTATAATTATGATGATTTTCCTAAATAGCATTAATTATAGCAACCAGTAACTATAAGTTAATATGAATAATATAGCTATTGTTAATTATTCTTCTTCTTGAGGGAAGCATCATTCATTAAGTGTTCCCTCGGGGTATTAGCAGAGACGAGTTTTAATCAGGTCTTCAACATCTGTACTTTACTGAATCAGAAAGTACATCAACTGCCTATGCCTGAAGTCACTGCAATATCTAACCACTGAAACTCAACAAGTCACAGAATTACCCTGAACTATACCATGAAACAAGTATTTATGATATGCGACCAGTCTGTGCTTATAAGACATCAGTTAGTTTCCAGGGTCCTTATTTTCCCTACCCTCTAAGTTCAGACTGCTCCCTATTTTCAGTATCTCATATTAGGTTGATGTAATTTATTACAATTTCTAGCCTAACACTAAGTGATTTTGCATGAAAACTGGATAACAGGGCAGCATGGCAGGGGAAGACTGCAAATAGTATAGTAGCTTCACTCCTACATTTCAATCTCATTATGAATCAGAATAGAGACTCTCAAGTCTCGATTTTATATCCCATGACAGATAACTGATGTCCTGTCCAAGTCCTGCCATGAATCTCTAGATACTCATTTATCTTTAGATTTAGGGGCTCTTGCTACTCCCAAACCCTTATACCAGATACCAAGACCTAAAGACCTATAACCAAGCAACAGAAAGAATCCTGTAGACTTACCAACATGTCTTCTTCCTAATGAATTCCCTATCTTAGTAGCTATGCTAGTTACCTGATTGATAAATGACCTTCCCAATGCCAGCAACAAGGAAGGTTCTCCTGATGAATGCTTTTTCTAGTTACCACCACAAACTTTTATAAAGTAGTTATTGTAATTATAACAATCCCCACACTCTCCAGCCATAACTAGAGAGGTTTCAAAGATTACATCTTACTCTGTATTCTGCCAAGAAAGGCAATGCCTGTGACAAAAGCTTGTATGTAGGCCATTTATTTTGGGAATCAATTCTGAGAAACAGTACTGAGGGATTAGAAAGAGTTAAGCAGAGAAGAAAGGAAATATGGTTTGGCTGTGACTCCACCCAAATTTCATCTTGAATTGTAGCTTCCATAATCCCCACATGTTGTGGGCGGGACTCTGTGGGAGATAATTGAATCATGGGACTGTTTTCCCCATACTGTTATCATGGTACTGAATGAGCATCATGAAATCAGATGGTTTTATAAAGGGAAACCCTTTTGCTTGATTCTCCCTCTCTCTTGCCTGCCGCCATGTAAGATGTGCCTTTTGCCTTCTGCCATGATTGTGAGGCCTCCCCAGCCACATAGAAGTGTGACTCCACTAAATGTTTTTTTCTTTATAAATTATCCAGCCTCGAGTATGTCTTTATCAGCCCAAAGAGAATAGACTAATGCTGAAGGAATGCCAATTCAAACACGTTATACTGAGCTGGCCAGCAACATGGGCCATTACGGCTCCATCCTCCTGGAGCATGCTGAGGAGTCCTGTAAAATGTACCTCAAGTCGTTCCATCTGAGGGGTTGGAGAGTGCACATGTATCCTCAACCTCCATTTCTCCATTGGTTTAGGATTGCCTACTAGATGTTAGACTCCTTCATATTTGTCTCAAGAAGTTAAATAGATGCAGAGAAGGCCCAGCACAGAAAGTGAGTGAAAGATGTTGCAGTTGAGGCCAAGGGCTACCAGGTCACACCTATGCAGAGCTGATCGCTGGAGCAGCTGCTGGTACAGGCAGATGGGAGGGAAAGAAACGAGGTGGGGCACCAAAGGTGTCTAGTGACAGTGTACCTTTACCAAGGACCACAAAACTCCCATGAATAAATCATTTCAACATATTATTTCTTATATATATTTTTATCCATTCTCTAAATACATATGAGGTAAAAGCTCACCAAACTACAGTTAGGACTTATTATGACTTGAAAAATCAGAGTAAATCCCAACAGCAGAATTATAGGACAACGACAACCTCACTGTAAATACAGAAAGACAATCCAAAAAACAAGAGCCAGAACCAAAACATATAGCGTGTGAATGAAATAACTTAGGCCATTATCAAGAGTCTGACTTTAAATGGGTCATATTTGAGCCCAACTATCACTAAACCACTAATCACAGATGACAGACGAGGAGTACCAGCAAACAGTTATGAAAAAGCACTGATTTGTATTTATTTACTTTTTCATTCTTTATATCCAAAGAAATTTAAACTCACAGAGAAGTGATTCCTAGGAATTCCTATGAAATTCCTAAGAATTTCTACGAAATTCCTAAGAATTCCTAAAAAATTTCCTAAGAAATTCTTAAGGATTTCTAATTTTTTCAAAGCCACTATCACACTGCAGAACTTTAATATAGAAACAGTATTATCTAACATCACCCATACTCACATTTCACCAGTGGTTCCAGTAGTGTCCTTTTATCTACTGTAAATTTCCATCGCAAATCCAAAGATCACATAATAAACTGATATGTCTTTTTATTCTCTTTTAATTTAGAACAAGCTCCCAGCTCATTGTTGATTTTTATAAAGTTAACTTTTAAAATAATTCTGGCCAAGTGTCTTATAAAATGTCCACCAATCTGATTTTTCTTGATGATTTGGTTCAGATTAAACAAGTTTGGTGGGAATATCACATGCATGAGGCCACGTCCTTCCTGCTGCATCCCATCGGGAAGCTCGTGGTGTCAGTTTGGCCCATATTTGGGTGATGCCGAGTTTGATGACTTGATTAATGTAGTATCTACCAGATTTCACCATTGTAAGCATACCTGGATCATTTCTAAATTTAAAAATAATCTGTGAGGTGATACTTCAGTGCACTGTGAACGTTCTACTCCTGAAAAACCTTTCATCCACCCAGTGGTTTTAGCA